GAGTCATTGTGGTCAGATAATTAAGCAGCGCTGGCAGTATTAAGGTCAGACAAGAATAACAATAAAAATAACAACCCTCCTTTCACCTCACCTCTTCATAATGCAATATTTACTCTTTGTCAATCTTTCTTTCTTTTCTCTGTCTCCCCCTCTCTCTCTCTGTCTCTCCTCCCCCCTCTCTCTCAGCCCCTAGTGTACCAATTACATATTGTATAGTACTTTAATTTGGCGGAGTTTTACTTTGGAGATTGGCGGTTTGCAAGCAGATTCACCAATATTAAAACCGCCAATCATCAATGCGCATGCTCAGTAATGCACGTGTACACAAAAAATTGCCAAATTAAAAACCGCCAATTACAATTTTACAGCAAAATTGCCAAAATAAAGCGCTGTACGGTATGCAATATCTACTAATTCTCAATTCTCTTTCTTTTCTCTACCTCTCTCTTTCTCTCCTTCATTGTCTATAATAATTCATTTATTCCTCTCCCTCTCCCCCTTTGCTGTACCTCTGATTTAGTTTTATTATATTCCTTAGCATTGTTGAAGATGAGGTTCATGTCTTCAAGGAATGATCCACAGGTCTCATATGTTTCTTTAAATAGTTTATCCTGGACTGTGGAGAGATCCATTGGGTGTTTTATGACTGTTAAATAGTCCTAAAAATAATAAAATAAACTAATAATAGTTTCTACACATGAAAATGAATAATTCCCTCCTTTTCAATTTTGGTGAAATTTGTCTAAAATTCCTGTACTATTAGTAACGCGGTAGCGTTACTAAGTAGGATTCACCCCCAAACAAAATGGCTGCCACGACTTTTGCAGCCTTGCTATACCGGGAAAACGAGCTCCTATGCTTACCAGACTTTATAGAGGACCTTATCTTGACCAGAGGACTCCAATGGTACAACTAGCGTGGCTCTAGACCTTGTCTAAGCGAAAAGTCAAAAATCGGCGAACCGGCCGTTTTGTTCAGCCACCTTTTTTCATCTTCATCATCTTCATCATCATCAAGTCCTGTCAATCCAGTTGTCGGTGTGTATCTTGGTATCAGTTGATGCTACAAGGATAATTCTTACACCAATCTACTCCAAAAGTCTATGCGCAGGTCCATGTCCCATCAGATCATTCTTCAAGAAAGGAAAAAGTGATACTATGACTGCTGGATCGAGCCATCTTAGCTGCATGCCGCCATTTTGGTAATTAAAGAAGCATGTGCTCCAAAAATTTGGGTGTGGTCACGCATGCTCAGATCTGCAGCTCTAATTAATCGGATGGAAAATTTAAAAATGTAAGTCAAGGTAGGTAAAATTATTGTTTTCTTTATTGACGCATGATGTTTTATACAGGTAACCTTCAGCAATTAAAAGAACACTCTTCTTATCTGCCCAAGTCTTACTGTGTTGTATATCGTCTATAATTTGTATTTGTAATTTACTGTTATCTAACTAATAATTGTGAATAATAATAATTATTGTTATGATTATTGAA